CTTGATTTATTAGTTTATATAATACAGTTAGTTCAAATGCAAGTAAAAATACAGTGCAAGAATTAGAAAAAAGTCAAATATAAAATTCATAGATAGGTAAGAAGAGTCATTAATTGTTGAGAAGAGGGTTAAGATACAGTGAGTGGGATCAAGGTTAAAGAAAGGGTGAGTCTGAGCATGACAGATGGATGGAAGAGCAGATGGAGTGATCAGCATAGCAGTTGTATGTGCTCCAGGAAAATGTGCCCAGATATATAAGAACCATTGTTGTCCTCAGTGTAAGGCCAACCAAGGAAGACTGACTAAGCCATTAAGACAAGTGGAAGTTTAGTCTTGGTAATTCACATCTTGGTAAAACCTTTTGATTGTGTGTATACATTACAAAGACTAGAGGAATAAGAAAAATATATACTGCACAGTGACACCTGTGGAGAAAGAGTGCACAGGAGATAGGATTAATGAAAATTTAATATTTTATTACTTTAAAATTATAATTCTAAACTTTTAAATTTTTAATAATAAGCATTTATTGCCTTTAAAACTATGAAACATTAAAAAGTACAGTAATTAAGGACATGATTGAAATATTAACTGGTTAAATTTTAAAATGACATACTTTCAGCACATAAAAATAAACCATGTAGCGGAGTCTCAAAAGTCTATCTTATTACAGAACAAAACAGTATAACTCACACAAAGTAACTTATGGGGCCCAACCAAATTATCTTAATCAATTTTTGAAGGGTCTTTTTCATAGACACACATACACATATGCATACACGTACAATTAAGTCTTTCCTTGCGTAAATTTTAGAGATTCACAAACCCGAAAAATCACTTACCTCCTTAAAATACCTTTGTTCTACTTTCCTGACCTGAAGTGAAGAAACAAGTTTGGAATAGATTGGAACCACACAGTGTTTTTGCTTCCCCTGCACAGTCCACAAGAATTTCAAATACTCAGGGCTTTCTCTTTGGACATGTATTTTATGAAGCTTACATGTTTGTATTCAGATTTGAATCTATAACACTGTTTGAAATTCAGCCAGTTCTAACCTTAGAAATAGAGTTCCGAAAAGAAAAGCTGAATGGTAAGCTAAGTAACTTACATTAGTTGCCTATACTCAGCTTTTTCATAAATTACCTCTCTGTTCTATGCAAGAGAATGCAATAAAATAGGAGAGATGTAATCCCCATTTTATAGATGAGAAAGCCACATTTATAGCATTTGTCCCAATTTGCAGCACTAAAACCCAGGGACTCTTACCTGAGCCAGTCAGCAGAACTATCCTGGACAAGGCTTTGTTGAATTTTTTTTTTTTTCAATTTAGAGGAAATCTTTTTCAACTTAGAATTCATAGATTTTAGCTTTGCATTGGCCCAATCAGAATTCAAACAGTATGTTAGATTAAGCACATAGCATTTCAACATAGTACACTGAAATAGATGTCAAGCCATCTCACTAATTCCCTGTTTTTCTGAGTGGGTGCAGAGGCTTTAAGGTGAAACCTGAGTCCTGACTTCCATCACTGGGTAAGTTTGCCCCCTTCACAAGAAGAAAACACTATTAACTCGCAGGTGTGTTTATTGTGGAAACAAATAGGAGATTGTTTTTACTACTTAGAATAAAGTTACCATTTATAGGCAGCGATAATTGAAGCTACATCCTACCATTTCCTTCCTTTCTTTCAGTGTTTCACAGAAAATTAGACTGTTTTTAGTTTGTGATTTTTCTGAGATAGACATTAGCCCTAAATTAATTTAAAAATACTTAACAGATTTTTAAAAAAAATAAATCCACACCACATTGCCAGTATGTAACAGGGAAGCTTAGATATTTGTACAAAATAATTGCAAAGCATGTGAATGGAATGGATAAAATTTTTTTTTAAATTATGGTGCAGATTGCTAAAGGCTAAACAGAGAAGTGTTTTGACTGCAGAATAAGCTGCTTTCACTGCTGTTGCTGAAGCATTCATGAGGAAATGTGAAGCTGACTGAACTGAAATAAGTGGGGAAAATTTTTGCCCCCCTGGCTTAATTGACAGTTTTAACAACTCTTTTGCTGCTATGTTATAATATATTACTCTGTTGACAGCAAAGTACAGTTAAATGTAACATTTTCATTATTTGCTCTTCACTTAACATTTTCCAAAATGTCAAGGTTTAGGATAAGCAAATTACTTGTGAAAAACCCCAGTGTGAAAGTTGGGCATTGGAACACCTTTAGAATTATATTCCTGTCTCTCCTTTCTCTTTTCTTAACATCCAAAAGTTAACACAGGTAGTAATTTTTCCACAAAAAATTTTATGTGGGTAAAATTTGAACAGTGTATGTTTCAAATCCTGGTTCCCACCCATTCCCCTTTGGATCATTTTAGGCAAATTATTGATTTTAAATATGTTAAAATCATTCAGTTAGCAATATGTCAGCAATTAAGGTAAATATGGATATTATTAGAGCCCTGATCTCTACTGATCTTGCATTCTGTTCATTTTAAATATAAGTTATTTCTATTAGAATTTATTAAAATATAATGGTATTACCCTTACAACCAAAAAGAAATTGATAAAATAGTCATGTTTAGCATACGCTCTGATAAGTTCTGTTGAAACCTCGGATACTGGCAGATGGAAGTGTTGCTTAGCTTTTGTCTATTTTATAAATTGGCTTCTGAGAAGCATTTCATTTGAAGAAAAGAGTCCACTGCTACAAGTTTAGAAACCCCTATTTAAAATAACTTTCCTCCTGCTTTTTGCAGTTATTTTCTTTGAGGTGCAACTAAACTTAGTGTTTAGAGCACAAGCTCTGGATTCAGACTGGGTTTAAAACTTGGTTCCACCACTTCTAATTATGTGACCTTGGGTGAGTTATTTTATCTCTATAAGCCTTAATTTCCTTACTTGTAAAAACAGGATGATAATATCTACCTCATAAGACTGCTGTCAACATTTAATGAGGTGCTTAGTTTGGCAGAGAAAAAGTGCTTGGTAGATATTAACTATAATAATTGTATTACATCTATCAGTTAATTTGGAGGGATGTATATTAGCAGCTTTTAAGTATATTGTCAACCATCTGTCTGCATGTCTCAAGTATGGATATCTGGTTGAACACAATTCTCCAAATTCTCAGCTTTATCCTTAGTTGTGATTAGTCCCTAATCATAAGAGACTCTATGCAGACTTTATAATCCCCAAATGTTAAATCCATTTCCCCGAGCTATTCTTTTCTAGACTGACCCATTCCAGTCCTTGAGTCACCATATCCTTGTCCATACCTCATCAATTCCTTTTGCTTAGTCCTCAAAACTTCGCCTTCCCTCTGCCATTCTGGCACTGATAACTTCACCAGCAGGCTCAGCTTAACCCAATTCCCATACCAATCTTAATCAAGTCTAGCAATATCTCATGGAGCCATGAAAATACTAGGCTGATCTCAGACAAGGAAATAAATGAACCAGCGAGGGTGTGGATGGATGGAGTGTCAAGCCGTGGGACCTCAGAGGATACACACCATATTAGATGCTATACTTGTGGCAGCAAGACTAATTGCAGGTCCGTGGGCTGCTATCGCTGCAGAATACTTACCTGCCTTCTATCTCTGGCGGAAGTCTGCATTACTTGCATTTGGGAGCTAAGATTGGAGACTTAGAGTTTGGTTGAAACCAGGAATCTCAGGTCTGGGACTCTGGTCTGGAATAGATTCCTACTGATAAAATAATATGACATTTTCAGTTCTGTTCTTACATTAATCATATCCCTGAGAGTTTACATGCACTTTAATTGCCTTGAGCATCAATTAATAATCAGTCTGAAATGGCATTTATTTTGAAATACTCTGAATGTCACTATAAATTAGTAGAAGTATCAGGAAGTCTGAATTTTGAACCAGAATTTTATCTGTATCTTACAGAAGTATAGTAGGGGTTAATGCCCAGTGAAGACTTGGATGACACTAGTGATTATATTTGAATAAGACATGGGCTCCTGGTCTGTATCTTAGAAAATAAGAGTTTTAGAAGGAGCCATCATTCCTGGCAAGAATATGACTTTTGTTTGTTTTCTAGTTGTAAAATTAGAGTAAACTTTATATTTCTATGAAAGGTATATTGGTACAGTTGAACCTGTAGCATTTTTCTAAATTTACAATTTTCAGGGTTTATCTTGCTCATTTTTCTTTTGTATGAGTAATTACAATGACCTCTTTGAGATTATATTTTCTATACTTTCCCTGTGGTAGATTTTTTCCAGCTCCTGTGTTTAAAGCCCCTTAAATCACCTCCCACTTAGAAGATTCCAGCCATAGCCTTGATCCCTACTTTTTTCTTTGGTTCTTATTTCCCTAGTCCTGTCTAACAACCTGACAGTAAATGCTGGTCTTCTCTTTAAGTTGTAGGTCCCTTTTTTCAGGGCCAACTGTTAATTTTAGTGGGGCTGTGTTCCACTGTGCTGCCTGGTGGTTCTTCACAAGTGTGTGATGTCTCTTCATTCTGTTTTACTTGGCAGTTTTTGTTTGTTAGTTGTTTTTGTTTTGGCCTAGAAATAGTACCTTTTTTTAAGAACTGGCCTATTTCATTATTTTAAATAAATTATCATTTCAAACTATAATGCATGGTTTACCTATGAAAGTCATCTTCCTAGAGAATTGTTTAAGTAATAGATTGACTCATATGATATCTCTACATTAGATATGAACAAGGAAGTTGTTATGATCAATTGAGTTAATACTTTTGGAGTATGTCTTTAAAATGTAATTGATAACTTTTGCCCAAAATAAGAATTGTAGGGGTCTGTGTTGAAATCCTTGATTACTTTTATAGACTGTATTTAGGTAGATGGAGAGCGAGAGGAAGAGAGAGAGAGAGAAAAAAAGTGAGAGGAAGAAAGAAAGCGAGGGAATGAGTGTTTGGTTATTGAAGTTGGAAGCATAGAAAGGGGAGATTGTAACTGGGATTACTGGGAGAATACATAGTTTGTGAAAGCTCCCCAAACCAACCTTAATCCTCTGAGGTAATCAGGTATCTGGAGAGCCTGTCCTCCACTCTCTGTGAAGTTACTTTAACAAGAAAGTTACATAAAACAATGAGAGAAGGTGGGTAGCCCCTGTCCTGAAATCCAGAATTATACTGTCCTTTTCTCTGTTGCATTTTGGCTAATCCTCTCAGTCTGCACTCCATTCTGCTCACTTTTTCTTTAGAATTTGGCTTGAATCCCAACCCGAGCCTGTATGCTTGGATTCTCTTCCTTTCTGTGTCTTCTGTGGACTTTGAATGATTAAAAGAGAGCTTATATTCAGATGCCGACTGGTGTCTGTCAAGCAACACTGGATGGGATTTATGTGGACTGGAATGCCTGTTGCCCCCTCTAAAGGCAGCAGCTACCACTTTGCGTTGTCCAGTTATTGACAGCTTGTAATGCAGTTCCATTCTTTCCTGAGCTTCCAGATTTTTCATTCTGGAAATCCAGATTTGTATGTAATTTTTAAAATGTAGTCAATTAACTCAACATTTTCAATGAACAGGCCAAATGTATGTTGGCTAAAATTGGCCCACAAGCCATCAATTTGCACCACTGTTCTAAGACAATGATTTCTAATGAGAAGTACATAATGAAAATCACTTCTGGAGCTTTGTGACTGTAACTGCCTAATCTGTAACCCCAGAAATGCAGAGTCAACAGTCTAGCAAAATGTCCCATAATGTCAGTTCTGTCAGTACTATCACCCTCTTGTTACTGAGCATTGCCACTCTTAGGCCCATGCCCACCGGGTTTGGCTCTCTTCAGTATTGCACTGCATATCAGGCTTGAGTTTGTCCGTCTTGTATATTTTGCCACTGTATTTAGACTGTTAGCTGAACCAAGAATAAAGTTGCTCTGACTCTGTTCCCGCCGGATCTCAACCTTATACTCTTCCCCACAGGTCTGTAGTTTTGAGACGAAGTGCTTCCCAGATGTGATAGTTGTATGCAAAACTAGAAAAAAGCTTCTGTGCACTTGGCTTAAGTGGTTACACTTAGCCCCAAGTAAGGGATGAGACCTGTTGGTTGATACATATGGAGTCCTGCTTTTTACAAATTTCGTATCCATGAGGCTCTTCCAAGGGTTGCCATCTTTGTCTGTCCTAATCCCTTACAACAGGCCATGGTTGAAGTACACGTCTCTATTCTAATCTGTGGAAACTTTTTCTTGGACCAGCAGCACTTGAATGTGTTGGATTAGAGGCTTGGGCTCTTGGCTGATGAAATTGGCAGAATAAAAACTAGTATGTTTGGGCCCTGAATCCCTGGCCATCAAGGTAGACCTCAGAGAAGCTTTTGCTGAAAAGAAGTATGCTCTGTGATGGAATCCTTATAGAATTATCAGAATTTAAAGCATTTTGTGCCCTGAAGACTAATATGCAGAAAGCTAGGCTAGTGGGCATTATTATTTACCCACTTATTTAGTGATTATGTTCTATACCAGATTAGAAAATTTGAGATTTCTTATTATCTCTTATGAGAAACTTCACTGAAAGACTATGTGCTTAGACCACTCATTATTAATCCTGTCTGACTTCCTTGGCACTAATCAAATTTTTAGCATTGATACCCATATCTACCAGGTTTCTAGCAGCAAGTCTCTAAATAAGTTCACAGTTTCTCTACCTAGGGAGAGTATATGTTTCGAAGAGCCACTTTGGCAGTAATCTCTGTATTAGTTATCTTGGGCTAAATTATGCTGCAGTAGCAAATTACCCCTACTTACAGTGACTTACAACAGCAAAGGTTATTTCTTTCTTACGTTATATGTACATCGTGGATCTGCTGCAACTGTACTCCATATCATGGTCGTTCTAGGACCCAGATTGACAGCGGCCTCTGTTCGAGCCATTGCTAGCCTCATGGCTGAGGAAAAAGAGAAATGTAAAACTTTCTTTCTACTCATGTACACCAGAAATAATTGATGCATTGTAAAAACTGACTATACTTCAATTAAAAAAAAAAGTTACTACTCACATTTCATTGGCCAGACCAAGTCATATGGCCAAGCCTGGTGTCAAATCATGGAGGAGTGGAGAGTAATTTTTGAACAATAATAAGATCTAATACAGTTCTACTCCCTCCAGCCTTTCTAGCTTGTATCTTAGGCATCTGTTGTCAGTCAACAAAAATAAGCAGAAACTGGGTGAAATCTGTGCCTGAGTACCACAGCAGCGGCCGTGGGTTGTTGACACAGCAACTACCTCTCAACTCTGATCTGTCCTCCGGCAATGGAATAGTAATTCTTTTATTTTCCCGAAGGACCCCCTGCCATTTCAGAGATAAATGGTAACCCCAGTGATGGTCAGTGCTGTTATCAAGAGCCATTTTCCCCTTGTCAGATCTCTTAACATCCACAGCTTCCTAGGGTACAAGTTGAATCACTGGTTCCCCCTTCTGGCCTTTGTGGAAAAGTCGTTTAATACAGCTTCACACAAAATACATATACTGTGCTCATTCTTAAAAGCTACAATTTTTGCCTTGAAGCTTCCCCTATCATACCTAGCTCTTTTTTATCAATTCCTGCTGCTACAAATTGAGGCTTATGCTCTCTAATGTTAATTGGATTTTTGCTTCCTCACCTTAAATCATATATTCCGATGTTGTCTCATCCAGTTTTGTAGTGACCTCAAGTACTCTTACTCGTTGTGTTCATCACTTTCGTGAATTGTGTTTTATTTCTAAATAAAATGGACCATCCACTTGAGTTCTTTTGATAGACTCAAGTATCTTATCTGTGGAACAGCTCAACTCTTAGTTCTGATTTCTCTGACTGTCTTATTCCTTGGCTACCCATATGACCCCAGTGAAAACCTTAAAGAAGGGTTTTTGGAAAGGTAGATGCATTGTTGTGATGATTAATAAATATCTTGTATTTTATATAGAATATTTAAAGTATGTTTTATGTAGAACTGTTTATAGATTTGATAAATAGGAAATTAGATTTATTACTTAAACTTCAAAGTTAAGAAAGATTTCATGAAACAATGGCACTTGCAAATAAATACAGTATTTAAACCTTATCTCTTACATATACATTGTGAATATCTGAGTGGCTTGACCCTACCTCTCTTTTTTGTTTAATTGTGGTATAGTCAGTTTACAATGTTATGTCAGTTTCTGGTGGTCAGCACAATGCTTCAGTCATACATGAATATACATTTATTCATTTTCATATTCTTTTTCACTGTAGGCTACTACAAGATATCGAATATAGTTCCCTGTGCTGTACAGTATAAACTTGTTTATCTATTTTATATATACCAATCATTATCTACAAATCTCAAACTTCCAGTTTATCCCTTCTCACCCTCTTTCCCCCTGATAACCATAAGTTTGTTTTCTATGGACCCTAGCTCTTAAAATAATAATTCTGTAAGACAACTTCCAAAATATTCATTATTTTTCTTTTTTCCTATATAGATCACAAGAGACCCCTGGAGATGGGCAGCCTCCAGCTTTACCACCCAAACAATCAAAGAAAAACAGTTGGAACCAAATTCATTATTCACATTCTCAACAAGATCTGGAAAACCATATTAATGAAACATTTGATGTCCCATCTTCCCCTGAAAAATCTACTGTAAGTAGCTTCTTCAATTACTCTCACATTTCTTTGAAATTTTTAAATTGTAAATGTAATTTCTTCTGTATCATATCTTGTTTTATCTGTAAATTACAGTACAATACTTTCTCTTTTTCATCATATGTTTGCTTATGAATTGTGCCACCATGTAATCCAATTGTGGAATTCCCTTTTATCATCATTTACAAAACATTCATTGCTCTAGAAGTTAATTTTTGACAAAATTGTTGTCAGCCTTGCACAACAGACATTTCCAGGACAAATGCTAATAATCCATTAAATACCATTAATTTTATTATGTAATTCACCTACTGCAAAGACTTTATCATTTTCATCAACCTTTTGAAATTGAGTACAGGTCTTTAGAATATATAATCACTCTGTTCCTCAAAATAGATTTGTGAATTATTTTGGTACTTTTTACAAAACAAAATGGTAAATTATAGAATCCATGATTTAAGAATTTTCATTGCTTCCTCAAGTAGATGAAAATAAAACAAAGGTGAGATTGTCAGTAAATTTTAAGGATATGCTGTGTCCATGAAGAAGTATAAGGATAGACAGAAGCAGGGGTGTATTTCAGGAAACTTAAAGGGACATCAAGGACTAAAATAATATGCATGAAGAGGAGATTCCACGGTAAGTGTTGGTGGTGCCACAAGTTTCTGCTGGCCATTGCACTCTTAGCCATCTTGTTTTTCACCTATAGCTGTCCCACATTACCTGAAGTTGAAAAGTAAGAGGCAGCCACTCTATTCATCCACACTTACTGCCCCATCACCACAGACACATCCAGAAGAGATCAGAATCCTTACCAAAAATGAACTGGTGCTACCTGTGTGATGATTGTATCATTCGTTCACTGATTCATAGTTACTGGGTCTCTCTCTGGGCTACGTTCTTAGGCAGGTAGTAGGAGTACAAAGACAAATAAGACATGGTCCCTGCTGTTAAATAATCTACAATCTAGTTTTTTTTTCATATGCAGAAATTACGTGTTGAGTACCTACTATGTGCCGTGCATTGTTATAGTCTCTGGGAATTTAACAGAATAGAATAGAAAAAAATTTTTAAACTCTGCCTTAATGGAACTTACATTCTGGGGATAAGAGTGAGACAAATAGTAAACAAAGTAAATAATTTAAATATATAGCATATTAGATAGTGTAAATGCTAGGGAGGAAAATAAAGCCAAAGAGGGCTAGGGAATTTTGAGAGTAGCATGTTGCAGTTTTAGATAGAGTGAGCCAGGGATGAATTTAGTGATAAGCCATGTGGATAGCTGGTGGAAGAGCCAGTAAGCTGAGGGTGCAAAGTCAGGAGTATTACTGATGTGGTCAGGGAACACCAGGGAAGTCAGTGTGGCCAGAGCAAAAGAAGCCAACGAGAAGGAGACAGGTGCAGGAGAGGGCCAGATCCTAAAAGCCTCGTCTTATAAAGATTTTGTTTTTCAACCCTGAGTGCGATTGGAAGCAAATAGACATATCTGAGGAGAGAAGTAATATGATGTTACTTAAGTTTCAATGTAATGGTATTACTCTGACTATTATGTTGAAAGTAGACTGAAAGCAGGGTAGAAGTAGAGACACTGGATGTGAAGTATTGCACTATTCCAAGAATCCATGGCAATTTGGACCGAGATGATAACCTTGGAAGGAATAAGACTTGGCTGATTTCTGGATGTGGTTTTAGGGTAGAGCTGATGTAATATGCTGATGGATTGGATGTAGAGCACTAGAGGAAGAGTGAAGTCAAGGATAATAGCAAGGTTTTTGGCCTGAACAACTAAAAGGAAGAAGTTACCGCTTGCTGAGATGTGACAGGCTATAGGTAGAATGGGTGTGGGCTCAGTTTGGGACATGATATGTCTATTAGAAATCCACTTGGAGACAGGATTCTGGAGTTGAAGGGAGAAGTCCAAGCTCAAGTTGAAATATAGAGAATTCATGGCATGTAGCCAGTGTTTAAAACCATGAGACAGGAAGAAATCACCAAAGAAGTACATTATGTGCAGATATCTAAATAAGAGGTTCTAGGAATTGAGCCTTCAGTCCTCCAAATTGTAAACATGAAGGAGATGAAAGAAACCAGCAAAGGAAACTGAGAGAATGCAGACTAAAAGGTAGAAAAAAATTAGTCAATTGGCTGATGAGAAGAAAGTTACAGAGAATAACCAACCGTGTCAAATGCTACTAGTAAGTCAAGGAAGGTGAGAACTGAGAACTGAATGCTGGATTTAGCAATGTGAAAATCTCTGCTGGAGTGCTGGGGATGAAAACCTGACTAGGAGGATGGGTTTAGAGACAATAGAGACAGCTAATGTGGACAGCTCTTTCAGGAAGTTTAGCAGCAAGAGGAAGGGAAGGAATGGGGCAGTAGCTGGATAGAGAAGTGGGGTCCAAAGAGAGTTGGGGTTTTTTACTAATGGGAGAAATAAGGCTGCTTCCTAGAAGGATGGGGGAAATGGTTAATGCATGGGAGTAGAGAATTGCTTTGTAATATCATTGAGTGTGGCACACGGCATGGGAACTAGAGCAAGTAAGAAGATAGTATAAGTTCTATAATTAGAAGTGATTATAGGGAATTCACAAGTATATAAAAATAACTAATTCAGCTGTGGAGTTAAGGGAAGACATCCCAGCAATGATCATCTCTGACCTGTGTCTTGAAGGATGAGTAAAAATTAGTCAGATACTTACCCTTAAAGAGCAGGCATAAAACATGTTAAGTGAAAGAAGCCTGTAACAAATGACCGTGTATTATATAATTCCATATATGTGAAATGTCCAAAATAGTCGGATATATAGAGAAAGAAGATAGAATCATGGCTGACTAGACGCTGGGGACTAGGGGACAAGGGGGTAGGGAATGACTGCTAATGGATACAGGGGGTTTGGTGGGGGCAATGAAAACATTCTAAAATTAAATAGTAGTGATATTTGTACATCTCTCTGACTATAGTAGAAATTACTGAATTATATACTTTGAATGGATGAAGTGTGCAGTATGTGAATTACATCTCAATAAAGCTGTTTTTAAAAAGCAGAGGGAAAAAAAAGCAGAGGAAGTAACATGAATTCACATAATATTTTTGAGTATTTGCCATGCACAAAGCTTTCAGCCAGGCTCTAGAGATACTCTGATTAATTAGTTAATAAAGCCCCTGTTGCTCTTGGCACTTGTAGTCTAGCATTTGGTGGTAAGAAGGCATGAGAGAAATTTAAATTATGATTCTTTGTATACTTTGGATAATATCAACACACAGAAAGGATGCCTCATGTATATCTGAAGGATAGAGTATAAATGAAGAAAATTACAAGTTACATTTATTTTTGTCTTTTAAAGCCTAATGGTGGTATTCCACATGATAATCTTGTTCTAATAAGAATGAAACCTGATGAAAATGGAAGATTTGGATTCAATGTAAAGGTAATTTAGAATTTATATTGTATTCAATTTTTGAATTCAGATGTTTCTATTTTGGTAATATTTGACTAATATTTGATTTGCTCT